TCTGAGGCGACATTTCGATTACACAGAAGAAAAAAATCTGATTTTTTACTATCGCGTAAAATCTCCCTTCGTTTAATTTTGAGCTATACTTGGCATAAACAACGAAATCGTTTAGAAGCTTGCATATACTAATGCTAATTCATGCGATATTGCGCTTAAATTTACACGAAATATTGCGTAAATTTACGCCAAATCTAGCTTTAATTTGATATGCTCTATATCTTGCAGAAACGACATCAATTTTTCAAACGGTGTAGAAGTGAAGTTTTCATGCTACAATTTATTGAAAAATGACAAAGACGTCATTTTGAAAAAAAAAAATACAAGATCCAAAATGGCCTAATTTTGGCAAAATTGTGAATGATTGCTCATATCACACGATTATGCAAATCGGAGAAGGGCTAGTTTTTCCGATGCGTCATTTGGCGTGGAACTGCTCACATTCGTTCATTCATTCGTGCGACACACCATGATGGTTACGATTACGACGAAAGGAAGGACGAGACTGTTTTTTGTCAGAAGGAGGAAAAGGGTAAATGCAGGGCAAAACCACACGATTTGAAATTGGATTTTGCGCTTGAAATAGAGAACAGATTTGCGGACTACTGTCTGAGTCACTTATGGCATACTTAATATTGGCTCCCCACGGAGAGATAATTTTTAAAACTTAATTGGAGTTTTCGGAAAAACTTTTATCTATTATTGTTTAATCTATTATGTAAAAAAAATTCAAAGAAATTTCTGGGAAAACCCCCAACATAGTTCTAGAAAGAACTTTAAAGGAGTGTTGGTAGAACTTTCAAGATAATTGTGGGAAGAACTCCAAAATAATTGTGAGATGAGTTCCAGGTGATTTTCAAGGAGAGTTCTGAGTAGAACCTTCAGGAAGTTCTGAGAATTCCTTGACCATTGTGAGGTCAACTCCAGATATAATTCTAATGAATATTCCAAATAAGTTTAGAGGAGAGTTTTATGAAGAGAGTTCTAATGAAAATTCAATAGAAAATTCCGATCATTACTCCAACGGCAACGGCGAGTATATTTTTTGTAAGGCACTGCAACACATGTCCGGAGATGAGATTTGAATTCGTCACGAACTGCGTCGTTCCACTGGCATTTCATTTTGCAGCGCAGGGTGGGGCAGTAAGAGCGCAAGACAATCCAAGGCCGATAGTAAAGGAGGGATAATGGCTGACTAGCCACATGCAGGGATAATGATTAGATTGAGGTAGGTGGTTTTTGGATTAAGTTGGTCATGATGATCTTTCGCTCCGTATTTCTACGAATTAACTCTATAGATAATTAAAAACAACGCTTCCCGCCCAAAATCTCTAGATCGAGTGCAGAATCTTTGTGATGATACTTTCCAAACGTGCATACCCATAGGAATACATTAAATTCAATAACGGACAAATGATTTCTACTGTCAGTCCGCATCGTGCTCTCTTGCCGTGCGGATCTATTTGCTTTTTGCTGAAAGATGTGTTACTACTACCTAAAGCTACAACAAATTTAAACAGCACTTTTCAGTGCTCAATCTGTAAAATTTCTACCTTGTTCAACTCGTATTCCTCTTTGATCCTTGTTTGGACCCGAGGTAATCCTTCTTGGATATCGATTTGGAAAATTCCTCTTCGATCCTTCAGATTGTTATAGTAATCTGCTTGGAAGTCGATTTGGATAAAAATTTACTGCCGCCATGGCGCCTAAGCGCAAAAGAAAAGGGCAAACTCTTGATCCCCCTTCTGATAAAATTAATTTGAGCAATCAATTTGATTTGCTCACGGATGATGGGAATGATCCATCATCCAGGAAAAATTCCAGTAAACTTTCCCGACTTAATGCCAAGAAGGAAAAGATTCCCTCTATTATGATAACCACTTCCGACTTCCATGCTCTTCGCATGGAATTTTTGAACTTCGTGAAAGTTGAGTTTCCACTACAAATTGGACGTCGGGGTCAATGCCGTGTATTGGCTGAAACCTTGGACGGATTTAAATGTCTTCTCGAGTATCTTACTGAGAAGCAGCACAATTTTTTTTACTTACGACACCAAAACTGAACGTGTGTTCAAGGTTGTCATGAAAGGGCTGCCCAGTGGTGAATCCCTGGATCAGATAAAAGGTGTCACTCCAAGTAATCAAAATGAAAATGAAATCCCGTCCTGGCGATTCGCGCAACGGGATTTCTAATGATTTTTATTTAGTTCACATCAAGTCTAGTGAACTAAACCACCTTAAGGCCTTGGAAAAAGCTAGCCTTATGCTCCATGTTCGAGTGAAGTGGGAACACTTCAGGACGTATATCAACCTGCTTTAATTTTTTCATCTATACCTACTCCCCTGGCTGCTAATAATGTTCAGCGAGTAAATCGAGCTGCCTATGCTGCTATTGCAGCGGGTAGAAATCAAATTACTAGCCAATGTAATTCTAACGGAAATTTTGACAATTTTGACTTAGGAAGCATTACTGCTCCTAAAATGAAATTTTTACACAAATCATTAATTGACATTGATTACACTGATATGCCTAAATCTAACAAATAATTTCATTTATAGAAATGATCGTCTTGATGGACCCTGTGGTGGCATTGCCATCATTGTTCATAGACGAATCAAACATAAAATTCTTTCTTCATTTGAAACCAAAGTTTTTGAAACTTTGGGAGTTTCTGTTGAAACAAAATTTGGACAACTTACGTTTATAGCTGCCTATTTGCCATTCCAATGCGTAGGCCAGCAAAAGAATTTTCTCAAGGGTGACCTTCAGAAACTTACCCGTCAAAGGTCTAAATTCTTCATTATTGGTGATTTTAATGCAAAACACCGCTCATGGAATAATGCTCAAAGCAATTCCAATGGTAATATTCTGTTTGATGATTGTTCTGCAGGTTATTACACTATTCAACAACCAACAACCAACCCAACTGCTTTTCTTCTGTAAGAAATCCCTCAACTATTGATTTGGTCTTAACTGATTCATGTCAACTTTGTAGCCAATTGGTTACCCATGCTGACTTCGATTCTGATCACCTTCCAGTAACTTTTGAAATATCCCAAGAAATAATTTGTAATCCCAACAGTTCTACTTTCAATTACCATAGAGCTGATTGGGAGCAATATCGAACATTTATGGAATATAACTTCGATCCAAACATTCCTTTGCAAACCAAAGATGAAATTAATTATGCTCTTGAATCTCTGACTACTTCTATAGTTGAAGCAAGAGCTGCCTCAGTACCAAAATGCGAGGTTAAATTCGATTCGATTATAATAGACGGCGACCTTCAGCTCTTGATCCGTCTTAAAAATGTCCGTAGGCGACAATATCAAAGAACACGCTGCCATGAAAGTTATCTGGCGGGATTTACAAAAACAAATTAAAAAGCGATTCTCTGCCCTGAGGAACAAAACTTTTGAAAATAATGTTTATAATTTCGAAACACCCGAGTTCCAAACCCTTTTGGAAACTAACAAAATTTTTGAAAAACCCTTGCTAAGCAATTCGGGAGTTCTCATAATTTCAGTTTGGGTCTTACTAGTCCTATTGAGAATCAGGTTGCTCGGGATTTTCTGAATATTTTCTTTCGGGAAAATAAAATATTTTCCCGAAAATTGTCACTGCTGGTATAATTCAGACGTAACCACAATAGTCCTAAAAACCAGACAGCTGTTAATTAAACCCTTCAATTACATTTTTCCGGCTGTTTTTCACAGCATCGAAAGCACAACGATGCAGTTCAGTTCATCATCCGCAAATTCTCTCCGGCCTTTTTGCTTAAAAGATACCCCTACGAGGAGAACCACCGGAAACAACGAATTCATTTCCTGTCGCCCCGGTTTCGCTATGCATCGCAGGGCACGACCGCCACCAACGATGGAAAGTGACAGCTTTTGCTTCGTCGTTCCTTTGCCGAGTTTTTCTTTTGGCATCGACGAAGATCCTTTTGGACGTTGAAATAGCTCCCGCTTCTACGTGGTTGATTATTTTTTCGTCCGTTTTGATAAACAGCAGTATGCACCGGATTCCGAAACATTGCCGTTGTACGTGCCCCGTCCTAAAATCGCTGCTGTCCGTAAATCGACGCAGCACGGTAGCCGCGCCAAACAAAAATGCATCTTGCCGTCACATCGGACTAGTGAGTTTCCGCTTTTCAGCTCTAGATTCAGATGGACAACTTTATGCCGGGAATTAGGTCACGTCACAACCGAGAGCGAGAAAACTCAAATTGCTTCCCACTATATGAGCATATGAATGTGCTGTTGCTGTTGCTACTGTAGCTAGGATCACGGTCTCAGTCCCGGAGCATTAATTTCTCGTTTCAGGAAGCGCTGAGCTGCATATGAAGGGCTTTTCTGGTGGAGCGTTCTCTGGAGGAATGAATAGTATAATGTTGTATCATCAATATATGATGAAGAGCACGAGAACGAGAGAAAGTCGTGGGGGTTTTGAATAGATGAAAGTTGAATTCTCCACGGGGGTGGGCGTGTGATGAGATTTATATACTTTGGAGTTTATGAATTGGTAAATTTTCCAGAGCCCAAATTGCTATGCTTTAAGCGAAAAAGATTATATGATTTTATGGCACTTCCTTATGCCATGTTCAGACTAGGGAGTTATAACGTGATTTTCGTGATACAAGAACTGGTAAGACTTATAACGCGTTACAACTACCTAGCCTGAACATGGCATTAGATTGCAAAATATGTTTTGAACGGTGCAAAGTTCCAGTTAAAATGTTTTGCGAATTGCGTAGTCCCTGAATTCCCGTAGCATGTAAACGAAATCGAAATACGCTTTTCATAAGGCGTTGATATTTCTGTAGTCGTCTTCGACCACAAAGCGTGGCCGATGTCTACGTGCGTAAGGTGCTGTGAATAATACTCGGCGGTTTTTTTTTCTCTTGTAGAGGTGCCACCCTGCAGTCGTCAGCAGATGTTAGCGCAAATTAGGCTTGCCGACTAAAATATGATTTCATGTAATCAATACCAAGAGCTTACCCCAAATGCACTAAACCGTTTCCTCCGGGGGTGCGGATCGTGTTTATTTAGGAACACTTCGGACTTGGGCCGGGGCGGCTTCTTAGGTCGCATTATCACACGTGTTTCTTCCCTAATATCTTCGTCTAAGAGTTTGCTATCGGACGACACGGACAGTTGCCGGTGAACGCGTTCATGATCACCAACTCGGTTCCAATCTGAAAGAGATATGTAAACAAAAATAGCAAAATTTAGTAATTACAATAAGCATTATGTACGCAATAATAAAACCGGCGAATCCAACTCTTGGCCACGGGGGAGATAAGATTTTTAGTTATTATTTGTATTTGAAATTCATTACGATGTCAGTAAATTTGCTCGCATTAGCACGCGCCAAGTTCGGCCAAAGAACCAGAAAACCAGAGTGTAGTAACGTTGGCAGCAGCAAATGTAGTGTGTAAATATTTGTCTTACAATTTTAGCGAAAGAAATTCACTCAGCTTAATTTGTTTGCATATTCAACACAGGAATCGCAAGGCTAAAAGCACCGCACAACAAGTAAAACGACTCCACTGCACAAGACTAGTTGACAGGAGGGCGGTAAGAGCTTTTTACTTCCATCGAACGCGGAAGCACTCCCCGAGTAAAGTCTGAGATCAAATGGAAACCGGAATTTGATGTTGTGATGTGGCTAAGAATGATTACTCATGTTGCTGTCGTTTTGGTCGTTTTAACAGTTAAAATATCAAAGTTGAAAGCGAAAAAAAAATCTTCCTGTGACATCAAATAATGCTGTTATCAGTTACTAAATTTGATGAACATTTTTCTTGTTGATAACTAAACGAGTATTTATTTTGATTCCGCCAAGGCATAAAAAAACAAAACTGCAACAACATTTTCAGTTGTTGGTATCAATTTTATGTTGACATCAAAATTTTATTTAGATTTGCTATCATTTTGAAGTCGGACTTTGCTCGGGCTACCATTTACTTGGGTGCTTGAAGTTACACGGATATTCTCGACAAGGTGAGATGCAACGCAGCACAAATGGAAATGTTTCTGCAACATTCCATTACTCGAAAAGGGAGGACACTACTTGTCAGGCAAGAAAATGCGAAATAGAAATTTAAAGTGGTATGCAAATAGCAACCCACCATGTTTGCAAATATGCTCTTACGAGCAACGGGAAGTTGAAAATAGCAAATGTCCTTTCGCGTTTTCGCTGCACTCTTTCAGTCATTATAGTGATATTTCATTTGGGCCACTTAAAATACAACGTCAACTACTAAAGTATCCAACTAGCACTTGGTAACGCTCAATCAAATCGACACAAAGTAGCACCATCGGACATGACAAGAAGTAGGTAGCTAGGAAAACTTACCGTTCTCATTTTGAGCCCGACGACGACGACGACGACGAGGACGATAGTAATTTGATTTGGAAAGCTCTTTGATAAATGCTATTACCGAAATCTTAGCACAGAATCGGTTCCCATGCAAGAGGTGGAAGAAAAGCTTGACTGATGACTTTGAAAGTGGAAATAATTGTATACAACAGCACTTGATGCTAACGCTGTAATCGAATAAATTGGATAGGTACAGAACGAAATCCTTTCATCGTCTGTTGTACTGCTTTCTTCTATAGATTACTGATGAAAGGGGTTATTTTTGAAATACGATATCTATCGCCCACAAGTCGGAAGGATGATCCTTTTCGTTGATAAACTCGAACTTCAGAATAATTATACGAACGAACCTGTTGAAGCTTAAACTTATTTGATTGCGTTCTATTGCTCTGTCAACGTTTGAACAAATTATTAATTAATTTGGTGGAATTCTTGGTCGTTCAGCGACACCAAGCCTAATGAATGATAGGTCTAAAACACTTTTGAGCTTAGATCCATGTAACAGCCGTCACATATTCTTTGGTTCTAAGAGCATTAAATCTAATCCAACTGAACTTACAGAAAACACTGACAGCCAAACATAAATTTCAAATCCCGAACATCGTTCGCTATCAAGCCTAAACCGAGCACCGTTTAAAAGCGGGTCTTATCAAAACATGACCTTCCTCTGAAACAGTTCCGAGTTCCAAAGAAGGCCTCCATAATTTTCCACCAACTAAATACCCCAAGTTATTTTACCAAAAGTTTACCCAAAACCGGTTCTCCAGACCTTTTGTTTTACTACTGCCGTTGTATTTTGAGGATTCGCTGCGAGTACCTATGCATGTTTGCATAACAGCCGAACCGACATATGTCGGGAAACGGAGGATTTATACTTTCCGACATCATACACTACCGACAAGCTCTTGGCTGCTGGCCTCATATGTACCCAAATCTAAAACTCGTGAAACAAGAAAGAAAAGAGCGATGATTTATTCATGCAAATTGTTCTTTGGCAAAACAAAGTTTTTAATTAATTCTAGCACGGGATCAAGAGCATAGCATTTTCCGAGAACGCCCCGTTCTGTCTGTGTGTACGTTCGAACGCATTTGACGTCATACTGTTCGTTCGTTGTTTTAGGTATGAGGTTGGGTAAAATTTGTATGGGCTTCAACGAACAAAGAACCATAGAAATCATAAAGAAAGTGTTAAAGTTGTGCCATCTTCATTAGTGTACAATAAATGCGCATTTTGATTCATTTTCCTCTCGCATTTGCACAACACTTTTGATGAACGAACAACCCGGCACCTCCACAGAATCACACAAGGTAGTGCGTACTTACTCTTTGGGAAAATATTCCAGACAGAGAGGATAATTAGGTCACTGAAGAAACATTATGACGTTATTCGTTGAACGGTGGAAATGAGGATGGTATGGAGCACGGCGTAGCCAGGTTTCAAAATAGAGGGATCAGAATATTTAAAATTTAAATTCTTGTAAAAAAATATCAGTCTGAACTACCTTGATAATTCCATTAGCGCTCTTTACAGGCTTTGTATCAAACTGTCTCAAGAAATCCCTCAAGTTTCTTGTCCACACTTCCTCTAGAATAATCTTCGGATTCTCTTTTACGCTCCCTTACAATTTTTTTTTCCAAGCACTTCAAGAATTCATTCGAAAGATCTTTTAGAATTCCTAATAATTCTCACATGACTCCGCTCAATTTACCTCATAATTCTCTTTATGTTTTCCTTGGAAAACCCCATTGAAGACGCTTGCTGTAGTACCCCTCATAATTATCTTGTATTTCAACTCAGTATTCCTGGTATATTCTAAAATTCTGGCATAAAATGTGCTCGTGTGGTAAGGTTTATTTGTTTTTATCCGGTTTTCTCTTTGGATTGCCGGGTTTATTCCCGGTTTTCCCAGTTACTTTTAAAATTCCCGGTTCACTGGCCAGGGTGGCCCTATGCGTTTTCGTGGAAAAAAAAATGCTCCGCACTTTATGAGCAATTCCATGGTTTTAATAGACCTAGTTGAATTGCAATCTAATAACGCGTGTGTCCATCATCACGGAGTGGCCCCTAATAAAATTGGTATGGTTATTCCTGAACGACGTGTTCAGGATATCATCTAAACCATTTGTGGAGTAGTTCAATCATTTTGGTTATCGTTCGGGTATGTTTTTTTTTTGACGTAGGACTACATACGTCTGTGATTTACATATGGGGGTACACTTTGTGAAAACAAAAATGGAACATGTAACGAAATTATGAAAGATTTTGGATGTTAATAACTTAGCTGCCCCTGGACCAATTAGAATAATTTTATCACCAATCGATCAGAAATACTTCTACGGATCGATGCAATTATTCCGACTGTTGATTTTCAACATGAAACTATTGAAAAAGTGGTACATGTCAAGCATTGTCCAAACACGTTGAAATAACTAACACACCCCAAAAACCACACAAAATGCTCTCCAGAGTAATCTTGTAACCAAACTTGGAAGCAGGGGTGCAAGTGATGTTGATCGATTCTCTTCATCGACTTTCTGTTTCGTTAATCAGTCGACGGTAAACAGATTCATTGATACGTTTGCTATAATGGATGATAGAAGAGTATAGCAGAAATAGTGCGAAACAGGTTAGTGAAGCCATGGTCATCAAAAGAGGAAATCGATGTAGAGAAATGACTTTCACTCCTCTGCTTCTAAGCCTCTTAATTCAGTCGTCGTCATAGCAATGAAAACTAGCAACGCCTCGCTTTTGGTTCTTAGGTTACACTTGCTGGTTGCAATTCTGATGTTCGACATTTTCGAAGGACCATCAAAACCATGAAATTGCACTATTTTCTAAGGGATGCCTAAAAGTCCAATTATTCGATTAACGATTAATCGTAAAGGTTTTTTTCCAGCTATTCGATTTAATATTTATCGAATTTTCAATTATTTGAGCGAATAATCGACATCCCTTCTTATTTCTACTCGTTTGATTTAGGGCAGTAGAGAAAATAAATAAAAGTACTAATTTATCTGAACAGAGAAGAACCATGACGTGAAATAGGATCATAAATTCGCCGAAAAACTTGTTGAGAGAAGGAGTTAAAAGGAGATAAAAACTAAAAAGGGGAGGAGCTTAAGCTGGGTAGACACTGATATTCTGCAGCCTTCCAACCTGTCGCAGACACCAGTTCAACCCCTGTCCAGCAGCAGATGGGCCGAGACTCTTGCGAGTGCCAAATCATTGAACCGAATAATATGGGATTGTACGGTCCGATTTGCTGATCCAGCTGCCTACACGTTATCACCATCTTCCAAAGGCTTAAGCCTGTACTACCATCGGCCCTTTTCAGGCCCGCCAAGATTTTCCAAAAGAGTTAAATTTCTGAACATGTCCCAACTAAAATGCATATCAAAAAGGATCTTTTCAGGGTAATCATAGTCATACTAAAGACAGAGAGAACCCCGCTCAAATTCCTATTCCTACACAAAACATAATCTGCAGTTAACAAATAACATTTATTATATAAGACCACGTAGTCCTACGTCACCACTAGGTATAACCGCATAGGCCTGTCCTTGTAGTTATTTTTTATTAGGAGCTCCAACAGTGTCTGACGTGCATGCAGTGTCTGAATAAGACATGCTTATTCCCGGAAGCTATACTTACGCCAGGCAGTGAGAAAATTTCAAACTTAACTGCCTGTCAACCAAAAGAACATCTTCCCTTGGATAAGTTTACCAAACAAAACAAATCGAAATGGCAGTGCTGGTAGCATGTCACTTTTTAGTGGCTAGGTCACTATTTTCAAGTCAGTCACTAAAAAGTCC